CCCGGGTGGGGTCTCCAAACCCAGCAGATCCCTGCGGTGCGCTCCCGCGCGGCTCCTCCCAGGGGAGGAAGGTGAGTCTCCCCGGATCTGCCGCTTGTTGGGTCCCTGCTGGAGGAGCAGGGGCCCGACTGTGCCGCGGATCGCGGTTAATGGCAACCCCGAGCTGAGAGCCCGCGCCCGGGCTCCGCCTCTGCAGCCGGCTTCCCTGCTCCGTTACCTGGGAGCTCTGCCACACTCAGGCACCCCCGGTCTTTCTGTGACCCCGAGGGTCCTGAGACCACACTGTCCCGGAGGGTTCCACCCCCCGCTTAGCCACCAGAGTGACGTCCCTCGGCGGAGCAGACTTTTAAAAGTTCCGACTTTGTGCTCCGCGGCTCTATCACTTGCCAGAAGCGGCCCACGGAGGCCCCTCCCCGCCGTCTATCCTCCCGAATATCGCCGCGGATTCACTTCTCCGCACGTCCTACCTTCCAGAAAGTGGTCGCTTTTCTGATGAGAGAGTTGTTGCTCTTCTTTTCTTCGATCTCCTGTTGAGTTTGTAGGTGTTCAGAATGGTTTGATCCCTATCCAGCTGAATTCCTGAGAGGAGACGAAATCCAGGTCTCCTACTCCTCCGCCATCTTGCTCCGCCCCCTGTGTCATGTCTTCTTTATCCATTCATCTATTGATGGACATCTGGGGTCTTTCCATAGTTTGGCTATTGTATACATTCTGCTATAAACACTGGGATGCAGGCACCCCTTCATTCAGATCACTACATTTGTATCTTTGGGGTAAATACCTAGTAGTGCAATTGCTGGGTCATAGGGTAGTTCTATTTTCAACTTTTTGAGGAAACTCCATACTGTTTTCCAGAGTGGCTGCACCAGCTTGCATTCCCACCAACAGTGTAAGAGGATTCCCCTTTTTCTGCATCCTCGCCAACATCTGTCATTTCCTGACTTGTTAATTTTAGCCATTCTGACTGGTGTGAGGTGGTAGATTATGGTTTTGATTTGTATTCCCCTGATGCTGAGTGATGTTGAGCAATTTTTCATGTATCTGTTGGCCATTTGTATGTCTTCTTTGGAGAAATGTCTGTTCGTGTCTTCTGCCCATTTCTTGACTGGATTATTTGTTTTTTGGGTGTTGAGTTTGATAAGTTCTTTATAGATTTTGGATAGTAGCCCTTTATCTGATAAGACATTTGGAAATATCTTTTCCCATTTTGCTGGTTGTTTTTTGGTTACCTTTGCTGTGCAAAAGCTTTTTATCTTGATGAAGTCCCAGTATTTCATTTTTGCCTTTGTTTCCCTTGCCTTTGGAGATGTGTCTAGCAAGAAGTTGCTGTGGCCAAGGTCACAGAGGTTGCCACCTGTGTTCTCCTCTAGGATTTTGATGGATTCCTGTTTGAGTTAATATTGATAGTTTATGCCTTCCAAGGAATTTGTCCCTTTCATCAAAGTTGCTGAATTTATCACCATAAAGTTGTTAATATTTCTTTAGCTTTCTTTTGGTATCTTTATAATGTGTAGTAATGTCTACTCTCTCATTCTTGACACTGATAATTTGTTTTTTGCCCTGAACAATGTAGCCTAGGTTTATCAATGTTATTGACTGTATATACTAGATATTTAAAAAAATCTTTGTGTCACTCTGTCATGTGGAAAATTACCTTTATTAAATAGTAGGCTTCAAGTACACTATGAGGTAAGTTATTTCAGAGTTCGTGGAATATAAAGGCTTACACACGAAAGTGAAATGCTTGGATAACACTGTTTATTAAATCAATGTGGAACACACTGTGAGAAGCAAGGGGCAGGAGGAGATTGACCAAGTTAAATACTTAGAATAGGGAACAAGTGGTATTGGTAGGACTATATACTACTGAAATCCTGGGGTATGCTATGTTCGTATGTCTTCTAGCTCTCTGCTGCATCAGCTTTTCCTGCTGAGTTGAGGTTTGAGCAAGGGGTCTTGGGTCAGCAATGCTTGCTCTGTCAGAGAGATGCAATTAGCCACAGTTGTAGCTTGTCAAATAGTCTGTTGAACAGCCATGGAACCAAACTATATCACAAGTGGGTGGTCAAATTAAGGACTCATGAATATTGATTATTTAATGCATCATTGAATATTTAGTGCCTAGGTGCTCCTCATGTATGTTTACTACCTCATGTACTCTTAGATCTTGTAGCCCTTTTCATTGATGTTTAACCCACACATACTCTACTTCCTAATTACTGATCTATACTTGATTTATGAGTTCATCCACCCATTTCTTTTCTTATCTTCTATAGAATTGAATTTTTTAAAATCTTTTTAAAAAGATTTTATTCATTTATTTGTCAGACAGAGAAGGAGAGAGCACACGCAGGGGGAGTGGCAGGCAGAGGGAGAATCAGGCTTCCAGCTGAGCAGGGAGCCCAATGCAGGGCTTAATCCCAGGACCCTGGGATCATGACCTGAGCAGAAGGCAGATGCTTAACCACCTGAGCCACCTAGGCACCCAGAATTAAATTTTTTTTCAAGATTTTGTTTAACAGAAGAGTATTATTGCTTAAATGCATTTCATACTAAAATTTCCCTCAGAGTACCCTTTAGCCTTGTCCCCACCCAATCTACGATCAATCAGGACTCCTGCATTGAAAAAAAAATTTTTTTTTTTTTAAAGATTTTATTTATTTATTCATGAGAGAGAGAGAGAGGCAGAGCGAGAAGCAGGCTCCCAAGGAGCAGGGAGCCCGATGTGGGACTCGATCCCAGGACCCTGAGATCATGACCTGAGCCGAAGGCAGACGCTTAACCATCTGAGCCACCCAGGCGCCCCGAAAAAAATTTTTAAAAAATCCCTCATCGCATTTAATTAGAAGTACATACATTTTTTTTTTTTTAGTTCAAATACAGTTGACATATGGTATTATATTAGTTTCAGGTGTATAACAGTGATTCAACATATATATACATTACCATAGAAGTACATACTTCTTTTTTTTTTTTTAATTTATTTATTCATTTGAGAGAGTGAGAATGAGAGAGAGTACATGAGAGGGGGCAGGGTCAGAGGGAGAAGCAGGCTCCTCGCGAGCAGGGAGCCCGATGCGGAACTCGATCCCGGGACTCCAGGATCATGACCTGAGCCGAAGGCAGTCGCTTAACCAACTGAGCCACCCAAGCGCCCGTACATACTTCTTTTTAAAAAGATTTTATTTACTTATTTGAGAGAGAGACAAAACACAAGCAGCGGGGAGAGGCAGAGGGAAAGGGAGAAGCAGGATCTCCACTGAGCAGGGAGCCAGTTGCTGGGCTTGATCCCAGGAGCCTGGGATCATGACCTGAGCCTAAGGCAGACTGAGCCATCCAGGCGCCCCGAGGATTGAATTTTTTTTTTTTAAGATTTTATTTTGTTTATTTGCCAGAGAGTGAGAGAGAGAGCACAAGACAGGGAGAGAGGCAAAGGGAAAAGCAGACTCCCTGCTGAGCAGGGAGCCTGATGTGGGACTCGATCCCAGGACCCTGGGATCGTGACCTGAGCTGAAGGCAGATGCTTAACCAACTGAGCCACCCCGGTGTCCCTAGGATTGAATATTTTGAAACTATACATCAAATGCACTAAACCCTCCATTAGTCCTTCTTTCTGTGACACAGTCACCAACTTTGCACGTAGTATTCACTGAATAAGTGTTAAATAAGAAATAAATAATACCCTCAGGTAGTCTTGCCATAGAGACATATTTATTCCAACAGAATAAGTATGTAGTTAAATATATGTGGGAACTAGTGGGTTTCTTTGCTATAGGACTTGTTAGTGCCTTAACACACTAATGTGGTGGTACCTTTCTATGAGTAGATGTCACATGTAGTGTCCTCACCCTTATTGACTGATGAACCCCTTTACTCCAGGTGCATCTCTAGCAATTAGTGTTCTACAGAACAGATCTTGGGAAATGCTGCCTTGGGAATTGCCCTGTGCAAGGCCTTAAAGAGGGCTGGAAAATGTAGATGTTTACTATAGCAGGTGTAGGCCAAGCAGTTGATCTGAAATTACCTTATGTACTTTATAAAGTATAAATACTCTGTTTTTCTGGGTTAGAAAGAAAACTATGACAAGAAGCATGATAGGGAAATTAAAGTTACTCAGGGTATGAGCTGACCAAATTATTCAATCAAGGGTTTCTCTAATTTCCCCTTCGGAATAAATGCAGGGATGATGGCCCCTCCCCCAATCAGCACAGTGCTGACAATATTCTTTCACAAATAGCTTATAGACTGGGGCTTTGGCATAGGCAGGTGCTTTGAGAGATATTAAGATTATAAAAAGGAGGGCGCCTGGGTGGCTCAGATCGTTAAGCGTCTGCCTTCGGCTCAGGTCATGATCCCAGGGTCCTGGGATCGAGTCTCGCATCGGGCTCCCTGCTCCTTGGGAGCCTGCTTCTCCCTCTGCCTCTCTCTCATGAATAAATAAATAAAATCTTAAAAAAAAAAAGATTATAAAAAGGAGACTTCCTCTTCCACCAGGCTGGGAAAATATGCCTAATGGGACTTCAGGGAACCCAGATCTCTATGCAGAGGATCTCCATGGTATGATTATCCTGGATGGTCAAGGTATTCTTAAGACTTGAAACTGAGTTTATCGGAGCATTTATCGATGGCAAGATAGCTTGCTTCATTTAGTAGACAACACAGAGGAAAAGTAGAGCTGATCATAGGTCTTCTACCCTATTTTGCTCCATTTCACATCCTCTGCCTCAACACCATCAACACGCAGCCAGGTATTCCCCACTCCTGCCCCTCCCTCCCTTCCTGCACACAAGGGTAGCCTTCTTCTTGCCACTCGTGGATTCTCTTCCTAGCACCCTTCTCCAAATTTATTGCCTGCCTAAATCTTGCTCATCCTTCACATTGCAGCTCAAATGTTTCCTCTGGTGAGCTTTACTTGACTCCTACCTACTAAGTTATGCTTTTTTCCCTGTCACTTATCACAAGTGCAATTAACATTATTTAATGATTGTCTTTCCCACCAGGTTGTGAGCTGAACGAAGGCAGAAATTGTTTCGACTAGTTCACTGTTGAATTACCAGACATGGCAGAGGGTAAGTGGTTAATAAGTCCAAATGAATGATCAAAAACAATCTAGGTGCTGATATATTTTGCAATTAACTTAGGGCTGTTCTGTTTTCCTTTGTCCTTGGTCAAAGGCTTCTCTATTGCCTTTGTCCAAGGCTTGGATTCTCCTAAGATTCTTCTTAGATACTCATTCCAAGGAATGCCTCTCCTATATCTATTCCCTGATCAGAGTATTGGTTGACATCGGTGTATACAGGCTAAGTCTCTCACGTAATCTGGAGCAAAGGAGCTGCGGAAAAGCAATGGTTTTCCTTTTAAGTATGAAGTGTTCGTAGTTTCCAGTGAGCTTGAGGCTCCGCAGTGAATAGCTTGTGTGTTTCCCAAAATCCAGGATGCAGGAACAGTGTAGCTGTGGGCAGCGGTGAAGCAAGTCATGTTTGTAGTTATGCTGCTGACGTCACTAGGAAGAATGCAAGGAAAGCTGGACATTCTCTGGAATGTTGGGAACATGGCTCCTTGGAGGTGCCACAGTTACACTCGACCTACTGCAATCAGTTCCTCCCCAGCATCCCGGCCTGCCTCTCATCTCTCTCTGAAACTCACTCGCACACCGATGCCTGGGGCTTGTGATTTCCCTCGCCCACCCTGAACGGATGGATGCGATTAGGCAAATATGGCGGGGGACAAAGTGGCTGGAGGTGAGGACAGTCTCCCTCTTGTGCTTTCTCTTGAGACAGGACTTGTTCTGGGGTGCAAGTTTCCTTGACGCACTCATGAAGACCTGCCATCATGAAGCGGAAGGAATCTAGCTCTGCACTGGACAGAGCTGACTTTTACCCCTGGCTTGAGACCGGATCACACATGGTTAGTGCTCAAGATGTGGTAGCCATTTAAGTATTGGGTGCTCACCGGGTATGCGCAGAGGAGTCCGTGCCTCCTGCGTCAGTGACATCACACTGGGTGGAAATGGCTTGTTCACTTCCCTCTTTCCTCTACTAGACTGTAACATCCTTGTAGGCCTAGGGAAATGGTTTCCAGGTCCCATGATAAGCTCACATTGGTTGAGTGCCTGAGGTCAAGCACTAAATGCTTTACATGGATTACTTCATTTAATTTTCAAAACCCCGTGGAGTTACAAACTACTGTTTTCTGCATTTATAGCTGAAGATACGGAGCCGCCAAAAGCTTCCGTAACTCTCCCAATGTGATGTATCTAGTTAAGTGGTGGAGAGAGTGTTTAAATACAGCTGGTCAGGTTCCGGAAGCTGTGCGCTTTACTGCTGTACACACGGCCTCAGTGCTCACTCTCAGTAGATTTTCCTCATTTTTCTCCAGCTACACTCATTATCACCGTGGAACATGTCATCCCCATTGTCTCCGCCTGTGTTTGTGGAGCTCTGTTTACTCTGTGATTCTCACTGTGCCAGCCGCACACAATGCCTCATGTAATCACATGCTTTACAGTTGCTTCTCCATTTGTCTAGCACTGGCTTTCGCATAGTAGGTTTCTGTACCAATTATGCTCTCTCACAAAACATCTCTTGGTTCCATTGTCAGACCGGACTCTAGACGGAGTGGATCACTGGGCAGACCCTTTTATGTTTTTGTGTTCTTAATGACAACCATCTGTTTCCTAAAGCAATTGAAATCTTCAGTTATTAGCGTAAAGGAAGCATGTGGACTCTAGGCACAGGCCTCACACCGCTGTTACATGCCTGGGGAATCAGCTACCACTGAAGTTAGGCCTGGCTACCTTTCTCAGACTCTGGGTGAAACCGGGGTTCCTTTCAAGATGAGATGCACAGGCCCCGTATGTTAAAAAAAAAACAAAACAAAAACATGTAAACTGTACATACAAAAGGGTATTCAATATCTTTGGTGTTAAATAGAATGAATACTTACGTATAGCCATCGCCCCATTCAACAGAATATTATCAGGTTCTACCGAGTCCTCCATGTGCCCCCTCCCCAGTTGCAACCCTCTCCCAACACCCCCAACATGCTTTTCATTATACAAAGAGTATGAGTTGTTTGAGAGCACTATGTTTCGGATGAGTAAGTCCCAGGTACTTTGTTGTGAAAGGTGCTATAGCAGCAAATGGGTATCGGTATTTGGAGGTTTCACATCCTAGTCACACTGATGTTTTCAGTGAGGTGTTTCTAGCTTCACGACCACTGCAGCATTAACGGTGTGCTGAGAACTGACGTGTCAGCAAATTGTGGTCAACGTGCACAATTAATTTTTGCCACAGTTGCGGACATGTCCTTTTTTGGCAATGGCTGTCAAAGATGAGGCTGAGCACCGCTGCCGATGGTGAAGAGCAGGATTCCACCTGCAAGGGGAAGGAGGGTGTATACCATCAAGCCGGCATCCAAGAAAAATTGTTTGACAACATGCAAGAACTTTGCTGTGAAACTGTGAGAACGTGTGCGAGAACTTGGTCGTGGCCGCAGAATGTTCTACCCAAACAGGAATACTGGGGGAATGTTAGTGTGCCAACCCCTGAAGAATTCACTTTACAGGAGAGCCCCAAGTTCCAGTATTTAAAAATGTGTCTCGGGATGCCTGGGTGGCTCAGTGGGTTAAGCGTCCTCCTTCAGCTCAGGTCATGATCCCGGAGTCCTGGGATCGAGCCCTGTGTCAGGCTCCCTGCTCAGCGGGGAGTCTGCTTCTCCCTCTCCCTCTGCTGCTTCCCTGGCCTGGGCTCGCTCTGTCAAATAAATAAATAAAATCTTAAAGAAAAAGTGTCTCAAACACCAAAAAAGTGACAACCATTACTCCAGCCAGCAGATTATTTCTGAAGTGGTTTTAACGAGTTTTCATCATTTATTCCCTGCCACTAATGAATGGACCCTTTGAAAAAACTTCACTGTCTGCTCCTTCCCACCATTACTGTGAATTAGAAACACTCATGTCAGTCCAGGGCTGGAGGAGATGAAATGCAATTCTACTACAGATTTGGTAATGTTTGTATGCAACAGCTGAAAGACCCCAAAAATTGGACATAATTTTCAGTGCTATTCAGTGTGGGGGAAGATGAAGTTAAACAACAAAAACAAAAACCAAAACAAAGAAACTTGGAGCTTTAAGGGAAATTGCTTTCAGGACTTGGGGGAAAAAAAAGACATGTTTGAGGCCATGCGGCAGAAACCCTTGGAGAGATGCCCAGAAAAGTAGTATTCCCATCACTCCTCTATCCATCTTTTCTAGCCTAAAAAAGGCATGGCTTCCTATTCTAGAACTAGAATGTGTGCTCTTCATGCTTTTGGGATTTGCTGAAGACAGTGTGGCTACAACTAAATGACTTGGATATTTTCACCTTTATAAGATGCAGTAAGAGTGGCAGCCTAAATGATACGTGAGTCACAGGTTAACTTCTATGCTAAAACATGTTCTTTAGGATGAGTTTGTATCTCAGGAAACAAATATGGAAGATCTTCACTTGCGTTGTTTTTTTTTTTTTTTTGCTACAGTTAGGATAAGCATATAATAATTTATCCTCAAAACAAGGACACTTGAGAATGCAAGGAGGGTACTAATAATTATACCTGGACAACATAAACCAGAATTGTTCCAGGCAAACTGGGATATGACCACTTACAGTACAGCCTTGGTGTTCAATAAGTACATTATCACATTGTGTAACTTTAAGCCTTTAAGCATGACAATCTAATTTATTTTTTATAATTTTATTTTATTTTGAAGATTTTGAGAGAGAGCACGAGCAGGGGGAGAGGGAGAAGCAGACTCCCCGCTGAGCGGGGAGCCTGATGCGGGGCTCAATCCCAGGACCCTGAGATCATGATCTGAGCTGAAGGCAGATGCTAAACCAACCGAGCCACCCAGGTGCCCCCATGACAATCTAATTTTAAAAAGGAACATTAATATAGATATTATATACTTGAGGTGTAATCTTTTAGTTATGCTACTACACCAAATAAATCCCTTTGGCTAGAAGGAAGGCTGTTCCATTTTTTTCCCTCGTGGTGCTGAGTATTATGATTGGTTTACATTAACGTTAGCACAGGAAACTAGTCAATTGCAGCAAATCACACTGCAGAGCTGAGCTTAAAGCTAAAACCTCTGTTCCGAGTCCCGTTGTGTTGCTCACTGAAACCATGAAGGGTTGCCTTCTAGAATTTGATCAGATTTCTATTGCAGATTCACCAGAGGTGGAGACTTACGACTGCCTTTGATAAGAATCTTGTAAAATTTGTAAAGAGGCTTTTCCTAGTTCACATGAATCCTCTTCATCCCACTTCCCTAAAAATCCTGGGTGCTAGTCCGAATCATGAGTCATGTACTTTTGGTCTTTTTTTGGAAAGATTTCTTTGGGCATTCAAGAAGGGATCCAGGTATTCATTAAATTTAGTCCTTGGGAATTTTGTGTGTTGCAGTAACTAGGCAACAGTTAAGATGTTTTAACTTAGCATGTCCTGTACTGGCAAGTTTAAAAAAAGAACTGTCAAACCATACTTGGCAGAACCTCCCTTGGACTCTCCCACCCTCTGTACAGTTCTCCTGTACATCTTGGCTGTCTTCCACGGCTAACAGAGGCCTCTTCTGTCTCAGCCTGACAGCCTCGTCCAAGCCTTTCCCACTGCAGAACAACCGGACACCCACAGTGTCCCCAGTAATCGGTAGGACTATGACTGGTGGTTTGATCATCCAGTACCTTTCCAAACAACTCTCACGTCCATATCTGAAACCTACTCTTTTTTTTTTTTTTTTTTAGATTTTATTTATTTATTTGAGAGAGAGAATGAGAGAGAGAGAGAGAGAGCGCACATGGGGGGGGGGTGTCAGAGGGAGAAGCAGACTCCCTGCTGAGCAGGGAGCCTGATGTGGGACTCGATCCTGGGACTCCAGGATCATGACCTGAGCCGAAGGCAGTCGCTTAACCAACTGAGCCACCCAGGCGCCCCTGAAACCTACTCTTAACTGCTATACCTTTGAACATCATCTGCCTTTGTTTATGAAAACAGAACTAAGTTCTAAGTAGTTTAAGAACTGTGCTTATTCATCAACTCTAAGGGCATACATTTCAGACACAAACTCTAGCTCTTAAAGTGAATTTCCAATGCAACTCCTTCAACGACATGGCATGTGTCAAAGGTCTGCTGTGTTCGATGTTAGATGGATCTGACTTTCCAGGTATACAATTTTGGAAGCAGAACTACTGCACTAAGGAGACCAGGGTAAGATGCTGTCCTTAGAAAGCAGGATTCTGTGGTACAATGGTACAGGGCAAAAGCTTTGGTATCAGTCACAGCTAGGATTCTCGTCTCAGTTCCTTACGTAGTAGCTATGTGATCTCCATAACCTCTTAGCCTTAGTTTCATCTATAAAATGGGGATGAGAACTGTCCTTAAGAGGTTTGTTGTGCTGCTTAACTGAGATAGTGCATAGAAACTGCTGAATATAGTGTCAACCACTTGTTTTTGTCTCCTTTTAGACTGTATGTATCTCAAAAGCAGGGATGTTAAGAACTGAACCAAAGTACGTAAAAGGTCCATAAAAGCTATCATTAGCTCCCCAGAAATCAAGCTGTTAAGTAGGAAAATACATGAAGCTCAATTTAACTTATCTAAAAAGTTAACCAGTTGAGTGTTTTCACCAGAGTTCTCCCATAGCTTTGGAACCCACCAGTGGCATCTTAAGGGGACAAGAACAAGTAGGGTGTCTTGTGGAAGTGCTGGCAAAGGTCTAGACTGGTAAGCAAACAACTGCATAAAAAGGGTACTGGATGCCTGAGCAAAAAACAGTGGACAAATCCTAAGCCTTGAAGACAGAACTGGGCGCCATCCTTTATTACTATGACCTTGGGAATTTACTTAACCTCTTTTTAAAAAAAGGCTTTTTTTAATCTGCCCACCAATCTTTGAAGAATGCTAGTCTAAAGGACCATTTAAAAAATGAGGCTTGGGGCGCTTGGGTGGCTCAGTCGTTAAGCGTCTGCCTTCGGCTCAGGTCATGATCCCAGGGTCCTGGGATCGAGTCCCACATCGGGCTCCCTGCTCAGCAGGAAGCCTGCTTCTCCCTCTCCTACTCCCCCTGCTTGTGTTCCCTCTCTTGCTGTCTCTCTCTCTGTTGAAAAATAAAATCTTTAAAAAAAAAAAATGAGGCTTAACATAAAATAGGAACAAAGCAAAAACCGAACAAAGTGTTAAATTTCCCCTTTTATAGGACACTAACACTTTAAGCATAGCTTTGAATTCTAAATGGACTGATTCTCTTCTACTTGTGAATGTCTGATTATGATTTTAGCAAATCTCAACTAGGAGACATAGTCATGTACAACCATTTTTGGAATTTAAAAGCAGCAAAACATTTTGTTCCCCCAACAACGTATCTGTGTTATGAATCAACTTGTCCCCCACAAATTCAGTGAAGCCCTAACCCTGGAGGTGATGGTATTTAGGCATGGAGCCTTTGGGAGCTAATTCCTTTAGATGAGGTCATGAGGGTGGAGCCTCATGACGGGCTTAGTGTCCTTCTAAGAGACAACACCGCTTGCTTCTCACTCTCCCCCATGAAGGACGACACAGTTAAGATGGCCATGAAGAGGCCAGAGAGAGCCCCTAGTGGGGAACTGAGCAGGCCAGCACCTTGACTGTGGACTTCCCAGCCTCCAGAACTGGGAGAAATAAATCCCTGTTGGTTAAGCTACCCAGTCTATGATGTTCTGTTATGGCAGCCCAAGCTAATACACTAAGTAAAATGGTTAAGTGGAAGAGAGGAACTGCTTTAAAGAAAACACGGGAGTAGGGAGGGACTAAGCTCTACCTCATCCCGGGAACCCTAGGGTCCCACGATATAGAGTGAAAATAACTGTTTAATGCCCACCCAAGAAGAATCACATTCACGTGCCACAGGAACAAACGCTATGGGATGGCCCAAATTCTAGTGTATTGTCTGAAAATAAGTGAATAGGATTCTATTTTCCTTTAGACATCTGTTGCAAAAAGGATTGGTGCTAAGTTTTAATATGGTGGTAAAAAAAGAACCTGCTTGGGTCAGGGACCCAGGGAAGAACGTGTCTGCTGAAGTGATGTCATTTCACGATGGGGAAAAAAAACCCTAGCCTTGCTCCAGAATGATCTTTTATTTCACTACCTACTTCAGAGCTCCATTTGAGGTGGGTACCTTTAAGGGATAGGAAGTAAGACATCAAACGTAACTTAAAAACTTATGTTGCACTTTGTCCAATTATAAGGCAAAAAGCAGAAGACTCTTTCAAAAGCACAGTGCCGTACGAATGACTCATTTACAGCCCCACCCACACCGGGGTTCAAGACAGGCTAGCAAACCCACTGTGGAAAGGGAATGGCAAACTGTACCAAGTTTGATAATGTGACCCTCACAGTAGGCAGAGTAGTTACACAAGAACAGAACCATCTTTCATAAAAGAAAGTGGGGGTGGTGGCAGTTGGGCAGAGAGAAAGTTCCCCAACTCTGTATATACAGATAACTTGGTTACAAAGAATAATGTAGCCTTGAAGGGAGAAGAGGAAACCCACACAGTGGACACCATGTTGCTGAAAGACGGTCTGGAGAAGGTCGTTCCCAGGCAGCATATTTAAATGCCTTAGTGAATGCAGGTCACACACCGAGGAGCATCTCAGGCCCTTTTTTTCTTTCTTTCTTTATGACAACAATTTTGTAATTAATTAGACTCTGGACTTCTCAGGGAAGCCCAGAACTGGGCCTAAGGAATAAGATACAGGGAAAAACTTGTGAAACCATGAAAATACATTTTTTTAAAAAAGTTTTCAGGTATAATACACAAAAGCAAACAAGTTTATCTTAAAAAATATCAAGTATCACATCAATAGACTACTCCTAATTATAATTACTTCTTAAAGCAACATGTCTTTGTTTACAAATACAGCAGCAGGTGATAAAACCTAACATCTCAAACAGATTGCTTACAGTTCATAATACAAAACAAATGTCTATGTCTCAAATCACATTTTAGGCAGTTTAACTTAAAATGCATAGACAATTACATACATCAAATTTGTCATTATTAAGTCAATTTTAAAAATCACAATATTAAAAAATACAAAAAAAAAAAAAACCTTTATAGAGCACGCATAAGAAGTCAAGTTTACTTAATGGCAACAATCAGTATGTTAACCAGTGACAGGCAATTTAAGTGCCTTCATCCAGGGAAGAAGTGAAGAGGAAAAACCTCCTGTTACTTTGCACATGTGAACAGTTGCACCAACACTACAATCTTGAGAAACATTAATTTCTTACTTTAAAAAAAAAGGTACACCACACTTTGCTGTTTAAAATGTCCAAAGGCTGGCCTCTCATTTCCACCAGCGGCAAACTAAAACATGTTTATCTAGGTAAACCAAAAATGGGTGTATTAATGCATTCTGTAAATGCTACCCCTAGATGGTAAGCGTCCGCGGGACAGGCATTCTCCTCC